GTGATGAGGATGTTCATCAGAGAACAGTGAAAGTGGCCTCGGGTCCCACGAGTCACGTTACACAAAGACCATCGTAGAACCTAAGCCTTTGGTTGCCAGCATCTAAACATGGCATTCTTCATCACTTGAACTTGAGGTTATCTCTCCGTCATCCAGCTGTTTCTCAAAGCCACCGGTTTCTCCTCTTGAATCTCTCGCCCCTCACTTCAGGCCATGTAAGGCACACACCTCAAACTCCAGGAGCCTAGACTCTCTGCCACCCAAACTGGCCTTGAGAACAGATCTTCCCTCCCCACCCCCCCCACCCCCGCCCCGGGACAGGAGCTGTGTTATTAGTCAAAATTCTTTTGGTTGAGTATGACAAAAAACCCAAGTCAAATCGACTTAAGAAAAAAAAGAGATGACGGGATTTACTGACTCACAGGCTGGGCAGTTGAATCTAAGGATCCAAGGGATGCTGACAATCACTTGGGTGATTGTTCTCCCTCCCCCTCCATCGTGTGGCTCTGAATTTCTTCGTTGGCTTTCCTGGCAAGGAAGCTCTCTCCAGTCCTGGGCCCCCAAAAGCTCCATGATTTTGCCCTACCATTTTAGAAGCCCCAGTAGAAAGAGAGCACCCTATTCTCCAAATTGCTGGCCCAAGTTCCATGGCTGAATCTCATCGGACCAACTTAAGTCACGTGTCCATCCCTGAGCCAATCACGGTAGCCAAAGCTATGGACTATATCAATTGGCCAGATCATGTGCCATTCTTTTAGGTGAGTGCTCTTCCCCGAAAGAAAAACCAAGGTGCTATTATCAGGAGATGAAAACGTGGATCCTGGCCCCAATAAAATAACCGATGACCACTGCAAGAACAAATCTCACTGGTGTCATTTATGGAGATTCTTGGAAGACGGTGACTGGGAAAAAACACTGTGTGTTGGAAGCAAAAGGGCGCAGATAAACCAGGACAAGACTTCATCCGATGTGGTACAAAGGCGGGAGTGATGAAACTCGACAAGCGGCAGTCGAATCAAGCAGCCATGATCCAGGAGCAGGTCTTCCCAACAGATTGGGGGGTGGGGGGGAGGCGAGGCAGGCAGGAACTCCAAACTACTCCTTCTGGGCACAGAGGGTATTCTACAGTTCCTAGAGCATCAGGAGCCTATGCGGGACCTCACCTGCTTCTCTGCCTCCATAGAGGAGAGGCTGTGCTATGCTTCATTTTGGGAAAGGAGGTTCCGGTTGGAAGAATCAAGACAGATCTGCACAGTGACCAGGGCGGTTTGCAGAGATGGCCACCAAGGCTGCCGGAAACAACGAAAATATTCACAAATGTCGAGATTTACCCTAAAAAATGATGAGAGGCTCAGAGCTCTTTACTGAGCAAGAGAGCATGCCATATATCGGCAGGAGATCTACCAGAATGTTATCAGTTGGTATCTCTGGGTAGTGGGATTATAGGTGGGTTTCTTTGCCTTTTGTGTAATTCTATGTATTTTTCCTTTTTTTTTTTTTTTTTTTTTTTTACCATGATTATTTATTTTCATGGTTGGGGGAGAAAAATACGAACTACACGGAAACAAAAACAAAAACAAAAAAACCTCTAAAGGGAAAACACTCTTCAAGTCAACCTTTTCCTGCCCTGATCCACTCTTCTTCCATTTAATTCATTTTCTCACTGTCTCTCTGTCTCTCGCCCTGGGGACCTGGCTGTCCCTCAGTCTGGATAATTGGCCTCTGGCCGACTGGGAAGCAGGTGGCTCAAGCAGTCCTGTCCTCTAAAGTGAGGTTGGGAGGGGTCCCTGCTTCTCCAGGCGAGGCGGGCTCCCACTGAGCCTGGCGAGGGAACCGGCTCAGATGGAAGGCAGCTGTGACCCTCCCCCAGAGCGCGCCCCTCCCCCTTCCCTCGCCCCCTGGGCTCTTTCGGGCTGGATGAATGAACAACAAAGGCCTGTGGCCATCTCAGGCATGCCAAGAAGTGGGTGTCATCTGGAGGACGCTTCAGCCCAGACCTTTTAAGTTGACACACCACGACTCACGAATCATTTACACAATTGATTATCGCCGAGAGATTTTACCCTGGTGGAGACAGACACCCGGGCACCCACTGCCTGGCTGTGGATGGGAGCTGAGGCTCGGTTAACCAATGAAGGTCCCTGCCAGGACACAAAGCCTCCCCTGAAAGTCCGTAAGAACTGCCCGCTCACCAGTGACCAGGGGGCTGATCCCTTCTCTTGGGAAAATACGGTAGAATTGCCCTCATAGGCCTGTGCCACACTCAGAATCCCAGAGAGGAGGCGTTTTGGACACCTCCTCTAGTAAGGGTGCAGCCTCCAGACCAGAAGAGGCCCCAAAGCCATGGACGGAATATTGGCTTTCTATCCTCCACCTGGAAATCTTTGGAGAAGAACATTTCATAATTTCTCCCAGTGAGCTCTTCCAGGGTTTTTTGATATCCTGGTAGCCGAGATAGTTTTTGGAGAGATGGTTGCATCTGCTTTTCATACGGTTCTACCATGAGCATCAGGGGGAAAGGGCTCAGATTCTAGCTTCCCCTTCAGGAGGGCCGAAGACGGGTAACCTGGATTTTCTGGCGTGACCCAGGCTGAGTGGAGATGAAACCAGAGGCGTGTGAAGTCGTCAGGACGGAATGTGCCCAGGATAAACTGGCCTCGTCTGCACAGGGCCGTGAGGGCAGGTGGGCAGGGAGGATGTAGTGATGTGGGAGGTAGCGATGAAGGGACCGGCGGGCAGATGGAAAAAAGGAGATCGTGCACGTGGTCATGGGGCATTTCTCCTTGAGGTGATTATTGAAGTTCTTGTCCTTGAAAGATCTGTGCTTTTCTTTGCCTGTTAGGACAGACAAATGATAGGAGTCGCAGTTTTGTCAGTCGGGAGAAGGACACCACTCTAAGTATTTGTTAGGGGTTGGATCGTGTCCTCACAAAAAGGTATAGTGAAGTCCTAACTAACCCAGGACCTCAGAATGTGACCTTCTTTGGCAATAAGGTCTTTGCAGATGTAAGTTAAGATGAGGTCAGCTGGGCCCTAATCCAGTATGAGCGGTGCCCTTGTAAAAAGGGGAAATTCAGGCACAGTCACAGACAAGTACAGAGGAAGGACTGTGGGATAAGACGCTGGGAGAGGGGCGTCTGAGTGGCTCAGTGGGTTAAGCGTCTGACTCTTGATTTCGGCTCAGGTTGTGATCTCACGGTCGTGGGATTGAGCCCCGTGTTGGACCCTGTGCTGAGTGTGGAGCCTGCTTGGGATTCTCTCTCTGCCTCTCTCTCTCTCTCTCTCTCTGCCCCTCCCCTGCATGTACTCTCTCTCTCTCTCAAAATAAATAAATAAACTTAAAAAAAAAAACAAAACCCACGGGGAGAAGACTCTTAAAGTTGGAGTTTTGCAGCCACAGCTCAGGAATGCCTGGGACCACCTGAAGCCTGAAGAGACAGGAAAGGCTCCTTCCCTTCCAGGTTTCAGAGGGAACACGGCCCTGTCGATACCTTGTTTTCCGATGTCCAGCCCCCAGAACTGAGACAATAAATGTCTGTTGTTCTAAGCTACCAGTTTGTGGTGCTTTTTCACAGCAGCCCCAAATGAGTACAACTTAAATATTTTATTAAATGTTTATTTCTTTTTGAGAGAGAGAGAGAGAGAGACAGAGTATGAGCAGGGGAGAGGCAGAGAGAGAGGGAGACACAGAATCGGGAAGCAGGCTCCAGGCTCTGAGCTGTCAGCACAGAGCCCAACGCGGGGCTCGAACTCGTAAAGCACGAGATCACGACCTGAGCTGAAGTCAGACGCTCAACCGACTGAGCCACCCAGGCACCCCATGACAAGTTTCACTTTTTAACAGAAAGTAAATTAATACAAGGTTTGAGGCACTTAGGCATTTGTTTAATGGAATAGACTGAGCCTTTGGCCATGGCTTCCAAATCTCCTAGGCTCATCTGGCCCAGGAGTGCTCATGTGCCATGGGCACAGCCATGTTATCAGGAAGCAGCCACAGCTGCCGCATATCCAGGAGCTAGTGGCTGGACACCGAAATGGGGAGTCCGGACATCTGTCCCAGATCCACGCCCCTCAGTACCGAGGATGCTGGGAACAGACGCCCACGTGGTTGCAATAAAGCCCTATGACTCCATGACTTTGTTGGCGAACACAAACCCGAGGAAGATGTCTCCGTCTCCCAGTGAGCAAACCCCAGTGATGGAACCCACTTCGAATCGAGACACAAAGCAGTCTGGAAAATGTAGAGTTTCGCTTTCCAATCTCTGTATTTGAGACAGCACACTGCGAGCAAAGAGGAAGGAAGGTTGAGTGGGCAATCCAAAGCATCGACCACAACTGGAGTCGCCAGTCTAAATGCCAGATGCCCGGTTAAGTACGAATTTCAGATAAACAACAGATATGTTTCTAGTATAAAGTATGTCCCAACTACTGCAGGGGACATACTTATATTAAAAAAATTATTCATCATTTATGTGAAATTCAAATTTAATTGGGCGTCCTGTATTTTAATTTGCTAAATCGAGTGACTCTAACCACAGTATCATCCACGGCTGGTTTCCAGTTTCTTCTTGTTGAGATCACTGGGAGATGGTGGGAGGGAAAGCCAACCTCAACCCCTGTGACCATCGGATCCTCCCCTGCTCCTCCCCAGGTCCCATGTCTGATACAGATAGCATGAAAGTCTCAGGGGCTCCCAATAACATAATTTGGTCCAAAGTTGAATTTGGGAAAATGAAGCAAAGTCAGATGGAGAGTTAAGAAGGGTGGTGTGGTCACAGGATGTCTGGAGGAGTCTTACTCAACACTCTGTGTATCACTCAGGGTGACTTTTTTTTCTGTATAGCTCTTTTTATATTCTTTTAAAGATTTTGGTTTTAAGTAATCTCTACACCCAAGGTGGGGCTTGAACTCACAACTCCGAGATCAAGAGGTGCATGCTCTGTGCACTGAGCCAGCCCTGAAACCCATAATGCTCTTGTACATCAATGTCTGAGCCACAGACTCTGTTCCCTGTTCTCAAAGTGGTTTACCACTCAGGGGAGGAAGAAGAAAAGGAGGAAGGGTGGAAGTCACCACAGGCTGAGCACTGGAGGAAGTCAGGTCCTCCTGGATTCTGAAGGGGAAGCCGGGGTAGGCAGGGAGGGGTGTCGGGGGCCACATTGGGGCTTGCATATCACAGGTGAGAGAAAGGAGGGGAAAAGGCTGAGCAGAGTCAGGTATAAAGACTGGATGGTGGGGATCAGCAGGTGATAATGGCAACGGATGTGTATGAGGCCTTGAGCACGGGCCAGACTCACCAAGAACTCCGCAAACCTTCGCAACTTTCATCAGCACAGTGAAGGTGTTAGTGACTCTCCTCAGTTTAGAGTCAAACCCAGGAACGGGGACGTTCTTTGCTCAAGGCTACTCAGCTTGTAAATGGAGATAATACCAGGAAGGCAGGCTTGGCTCAGACTGGGCAGAGACTTGACTATCCAGGTTTGAGATTTAAATTTTTTTTTAATGTTTATTTATTTTTGAGAGAGGGAAAGACAGAACATGAGCGGGAGAGGGGCAGAAAGAGTGGGAGACACAGAATCCGAAGCAGGCTCCAGGCTCCGAACTGTCAGCATAGAGCCCCACGTGGAGCCCGAACTCTCGAACCATGAGATCATGCTCTGAGCCGAAGTCGGACGCTCAACCGACTGAGCCACCCAGGCGCCCCTAGGCTTGAGATTTAAATGGATGGCATAGGGGCACCTGGATGACTCAGTTGGTTGAGCGTCCGTCTTCGGCTCACGTCATGATCTCGTGGTTTGTGAGTTCGAGTCCCACATCTGGCTCACTGCTGTCAGCTTGTCAGCACAGAGCCTGCTTTGGATCTTCTGTCCTCTCTCTGCCCTTCCCCCGCTTACACACACACACTCTCTCTCAAACAAGACAAAAACAACCAAAAAACAACACTAGATGGATGGCATAAATATGGCTTGAATGCCAACTGTGGGCAAGTCACTGGAGAGTCAAACACAAGCCACTCTCTCAGACAGTCTGGCAGGATGTGGCCAAAGCCCTAAAAAGGAACTTTGATCTAGAGATTCTACATGAAAAAACCTACATCCCAATAATTAAAGACTACTTAGCGATGAATACCGAGGGAGGGGTTAGGTGGAAAGAGTTCACTACAATGGGACTTATAATTGCAGAATTTGTAAACTATATAAATGTCCAACCATAGTGATGAGTTAAATAAATGCAGCCATACATTCAGCTCGTGTTGTAGAACAATACAGAAAAGTATTTATTGATATGGAAGTATGCCAATGACATATTACTGAATGAGAAATACAGATTACAAAATAGTGTATCCCATATGGGTGCCTGTGTGCATGTCTGTGTGTTTTAACCAGAGACAGATACTGTAAAGTGTTAACAGTGATTATTTTCATTATGGGTTATACTCTAGTTACCAGAGACAATTTCTGTTTTCTTTTTTCCTTCCATTCTATAATGCCTACTAAGTGCCAAGCACCATGCCGGCCATTACATACATAATGGTGAATAAAAGGATATTTACCCCCTGCCTCATGAACGAGTAAGTGGGCAATGAAATCATTATTGTATAGGTACAAATGGAATGTGCAGTGAAAGGGTAAAGGAAGTTCTGTGGTGGAGAGGGCCAGGTGAGGACATACAGGGACCCCGGATGGTCAGGTCAGGGAAGATCTCTTGACATTTAAGTCAACACCCAGAGGCTGAAAAGCAGACAACCTCAGGAAGGGCTGAGGGAGGGGGCGAGCCCGGCACAGGGAACAGCATATGCAAAGACGCTGAGCAGCAGAGCACGTTAGGGACACTAAAAGGTCGGTGTGGATGACGCACAGGAATTTATGTTTTCAGAATTAGGCATTATCCGTATGGAGGACCCCCTTCCTGGGACACAGAATACAGCATAGGTTCACTCTCATATCAGAATTTTAGGAACTCTGGTTGATAAAGTAGAATAATGATGCGAAGGAAGGTGTGAATCACTCTTTTGAATCCCCTATGCAATTTGGGGATTCAATTTCCTGTACAACCAAATTCTTTCTTAAAGGTTAAAAAAAAAAAAAAAAGGAACATTTCTCTTTAAAAAAAAAAAACACATTTTTTTAAGGCTTATTTATTTTTGAGAGACAGAGAGAGAGAGAGAGGGTGTGAGCAGGGGAGGAGCAGAGAGACAGAGGGAGACACAGAATCCAAAGCAGGCTCCAGGCTCCGAGCCGTCAGCACAGAGCCCGACGCGGGGCTTGAACTCATGAGCCGTGAGATCATGACCTGAGCCGAAGTCGGACTTTTAACCAACCGAGCCACCCAGGCGCCCCAATAAAAGAAAATTTAAAGATGCTCTGGGGCCAAAGCTCTGCTCTAAGCTGAAAGCCCTCAATCAAGCAGCCGAACAGCCCATTTGTCCGCCGCCCTCTTGGTTTTGCACCCGGGGCAAGGGAAGGGGGACGTGGGAGCCCAGATGTTGCAGCGTTAGGAATGGGGCGGGGTGGGATTTCCAAACGAGGAGCTGATAATAATACAGGACGTCAGAAGGGAGCTGAGGTTTCCCTGGGACCCTGAGCCTCACTCCGCTGGCACAGCAACCCCGGAAGGCCACGCAGGCCAGGTAAAGAGCAGCTGGCAGCTAACACACAAAAGGCAGAGAAAGAGGACCTCCGAGGGGAGCCGCACATGTGAGTGACCGCCTGGCCTGCTTGCCTTCTCACGGGTGCGACGGGCCCCCAGACGGGGTGGGCACAGGGACTCGAGCCCGGGTCCGTCTGAGCCCCAGGCCTGCGTTGTAGCGCGTTATGCTTGTGGGACGAATCAAAAGGCCTGAAGATTAAAAGCCAGAAGCTCCTACCCGCACCACACACAGCAGGTTATGTCTCGTTGTCTTTTTGGATTGCAAAGAACCTCACAATTTGGCAGCGGGTCCGGGACGCCGTCCGCTGTGAGCCCCCATTCCCGCCGGGAGGGGAGGGTGCGTCAGGCCGCATCACGAGGACGGAGATCGAGGACTCCTGCGGCCCGGCGTCCCGATTCCCCGGCACCCTGGCCTGGCCCCGCCAGCGGCCGCCCCCCGATGCCTCCTCATGCTGCCCCGCTGAGGCTGGCCAGTTGAAGACGGCCGCTAACCCCACGCGGCCAGGACGCCGGCCCGCCCCTCCCCTGTCACGTGTTGCAGCAGGGACGGAAAGCCACCCGGATCTGCTGCAGACCCCATCTCAGGAAAGCTCCGTAGAAGAGAAGTCAAGTCCAGCAGATCCTCTTTTCCTAAAATGGGTCCATTATAGGGATCTTCGAAAGTAGACACGCTCTCCCAGAACAGAATTACAGCCCGGCCTCCGAATGCCCGACACGCCGGGAGGTAACCCGAAGTTTGTGGAGTGAACCACCACCGACGGCCAGCTTCCACGGCTGCACGAAGCACACTATCCAGGGAACCGTGCAGTTTTCCTGCTGAACCACCTTCTTCCCACCACCTTTGCAGCCCGGACGCTTGCTGAAGGTATCGTTTGAGTTGGCACAGCCACGGAGCGGGTGCCTGGTTAGCCCCGAGCTCAAGGGTCATTCTTCCCGCTAGACATTCCAGATCCACGCACCATTTCCTGGAAACGCAAGGGTTCCTGGGAGAAGGCCATCTCAGCTCTGTATCTCCGGTCCCCGCCTGGCCGGATCAGAGGAAGAGGCAGCACAGGAAATGGAGAAGTTGTCTACGGCCTGCTCCGGGACAAGAAAATCCTCAGCCAGTAACCAGGTGATTTTTTGAAGCACTGGTTTTTCAAAACCCCCAGGTGGGGTGAGAAGACGTGGGGGACAGTCAGAGCTGGGCTCAAGCAAGACGGGACATCAAGGGCAGCTGCTCACACTCGGAAGGGTGCCTCTGCCCTGCTCCCACCCCCGCGGATGCAAAGACGAGGCCCACGTTTTGAAAAATATAAAATTTTAATAAAGGCTACATCTCTTAATTGCAATAATTATTGTACCAAGTAGATTTCCTTAAATGAACTCTTTATAGTGCATAATTTACAGTATAAGTAGAACAAAATGCCATGGCGAAAGTCGTTGAGTACAAGACTTGTAATAAAAAGGCGTAAAATATATTTATACATAAACCCCTTTCAAAAAACAAGGGAAAGCTTGAGCCCTCAATATAGGGCGACGCACGGAGCAGGACCCCGTGCAGGTACAGGTACTGTACTGATTTAAAGTCAAGCACTAGAGATAGTGGATTAATACTCTCTTGTCATACAATATATACAGACATATAGTACAAGGAACAATGGCAAACAGAATGTACAGATGAACTTCACACAAAAACCCGAACGTCAAAATGAAGGTGTCTGGAGGAAAGCGTGCTGCTAGGTCTTGACGCAACTGTCCGCTTCTTTGCAGGGCCGGGGGGGCCCCCCCCCCGGGGGGGTTTCCAGAACGGCGGTGGTCCAAAGACTGACTAAAACAAAAAACCCCACAAAACCCAAAAAACCTCCCCCCCCCCCAAACTCCAAGGAGTCGTTATCTCAGTAAAAGCACAAGTTGAACTCCAAGGTCCTAGCAAGCCTCTGCCATGGGGCGCCGGACCTTGGTGGGGTTAGAAAAGTTACTGAGTAAATCTGGGGTCCCAAAAGGGAGGCTTCCCACCCTGCACCCCACAATGGATCCCCATCCAATGTGATGACACTACATGGCGGTGACGTTGCCATATAAATCAGGGCCTTTACGACAAAATAGAGCAGCACAGAAAGAAAAAAATGCACCAATTTCTGCGTGTGTCAATGGTAGGGCACCATTTGTAAAAGTCTATCTTCGCTTGGAGAAGGGCAGGGCAAAGCATAAGAAATCCTCTTTTAATGAAGAAATCATTCATGCAGTCCTAGCTCAACCCCTAAGTTTGGATAGGGCAATTAAAACTTCCTCTCTCCCCCTTCTGTGTTTAAAGCAGCATATCCATAAACTGGGGACAGGGGGAATCAATTGTTCAATAAATAGCAGTAAGGGTTCCTGT